CTCTTTGCTGTGTTTTTTCATAAATTGTTTTTCTTTCTGTGATAGCTTAAGATTCGTTAGAAAACGAAGTGTAAATCTATTGGTTAGATCATCCAGCTTTTCAGGTGAACGTCTAAAATTGGCTCGGGTTACACGAGCGAAGATTTTTTTCTAACGGTTTGTAAAAATTAGATACTTTTGTCCTTTTAATAAATCTTTTTTGTATGCACAGCTGCTTTTGCGGTTTTTTTACCTTTAAGCAAAACTCGTTCAATATTGTCTGTTTCTGCCAACTCGGATTATAAAAATTTTTCAAGTAAACAATTGGGTTTTTGAATCAATTTTTTCTAGGTAACTTATTGTCAACTCTGTCATTTTTTCAGCCATTAGTAAATTTGTAACCTGCTTTGTAAATTCTCGTTATATTGGAAATTTGAGTGGTGATGATTCTACACCAATTCTTATTTTAATTATTTTTAAATCTTTTCGTTCGCTTGAAATTTGCATCATATAAAGAAAAAATTCGTCATGTGCGTTTATGTGCTTCAGTTGTTTTTTTTTTTTTTTTTTTTTGTTTTTTTTTTTTTCCCAAAATCATCAAATCAAAATAAATTGGTTTCGAATGGTGCTTCAGTTGTGGTTACAGAAAAACTTCGGTTTGCAGAGTGAGTTGAAATTCTTGAAATTTTTATTAAAACCAATTTATTACTCGATGGGTGTCTGCCTACGCTTTTCCAGCTTAGCTACTGCTCCGTATTTAAAGTCTTTCTTTAAAGTTTACTGTTGGTTTTCTTGAAATAGTTGTACTAAGATGTACTTCATTCGAGAGTGTTAAAGTAAAACAAAACAGATAGTATCTGAAATGTATTTGTAAATGTTTGTCCAACTGTATATCATCTAAGCTTTGAACAGTAATTAGAACAAAAGGTGACCAGAAATTCAAGGACAACATTAGCAAAACCTTACATAATTTTTACAGACATAAACTGTAGACTTTGTAGATTGTAGAAGATTTCATGATTCATCTACCTTTCCCAATTGTTTGTGAGAACTAGTTTGGCTACGTCTAACTCGTTTTCAATTTCAATCAAATTTTTTTTTAAATTATTTCATTCAAGTTTCAAATGTCAATAACCGAGTAAGTTATTTATTTTGGTCTGGCGTTTATAAATTTTTTTTAATTAAAAAAGCGTCTCAAAAATTTAAGTTCTTCAATGACATAACTCAAATAACGCGAAGAAACCTAAATGACGTTTAGATTTAATTTTTTTTTAATTCCTGGGTTTCACTGCGGAAAAACACCACATATTGACCCAACTTTCTATAAAAATGTTATTTTTGCTGTCAATTCCCAAATGTTCTTAAAACTCAAAGAGCTGTAACTTAACTTGATGTTTTTCCTAAGAAATCTGAAATTAGATAAATATTCTTAAATTGAACCCGTTTTTTTCAGTTAATTGACAACTTTCCAACTTTCTCTCGGCTGTGTTTTTTCATAAAGAGCTAAATTCTATGATAGCTTTAGATTCGTCAAAGAACAAATTTGAACGCATAATTAGGGTTAGAAAACGAAGTATGAATTAATTGGTTGGACCCAGTTTTTCAGGTGAGCGTCTTTTTTTTACCGCTTTCCTCGGTCGTGTTGATTGTCGTGTTGGCGTATTGTCGCTCGCTCTCATCTCCGGTGTCGCTGTACTTGTCTCATCAAGCGGTCCTTCGATTTCCTGAGCTCGCGTTTCCGGTGCCGTTGGCGTTGTCCCCGCCTTGTTCGCAATACTGGTTGTCCTGATGCGTGTTTCGTCCGCTGTATCGTCAAAACCGTCATCGCTCGATTCGGCTATTCTTCGTCGCTTGCTTTTCGCGGACGTCGCGTTCGGTGGAGTAGTTTTTCTCTTCACTCGCGATCTTCTCTCGCTCTGGACCGACGGTTTTTCAGCGCTGGACCGAGGTAGGCCCCTGGTTATGTCTACCGCTCTTTTTCTCTCAATACTCGTCGACGGGCCTGCAACCTCCGACTCTGACTCGCGTATAAACGCGGTACCTTTTCTTCTTTACAAGTTCTTCCTTTTCACGACGTGTGGCGCAATTTTTTCATTTTGTCGACCAAATTTTTATACCTGGCTGGGTCCATGGGATTGATAACTCCAGCTTGCTGTTAGACAGTAACTTTTTTGGCGGCTTTGCTGTTCGGTGTCGCAGCTCTGGAGGTACCCTGGGGTGGTGGAGCTCAATGTGCTTCTCTGCCAACTCTTTTTTATCCAACATTCTTCGAGCGCTTTTAATTTGTGGGGCCATTGTCAGATCATTACGTATATCCCAGTCCTCTATTCTTAAATGTTCCTCGTCGGTTTTCCCCTCGCCTCGTCTGAAAAAGATAACTTTTGGTTAATTAGGTTGTTTCAGTTAAAATTTTTCAGACTTGGTAATTTTTTTAAGTTTCGCAACCGTATTTGGTTGTCGTCTATTATGCGCTTCGAATGCATTGCAGTTTGTTTTGCTGTGCGGAACAAATCTTAATGCGCTTAGTGCCCTGAGTATCAGCAGTTTGAACTTTTGCTCGTTACGTTTTTCAAGTATGTTAAGGCGTAGTTTTTAAGGGAGACAATTGTTCTTTCACCATGCCGGTGGCCTTGTGATCACTAACCGGTATTTTTAATATATCGATATCGAACCCGGAAGCCTGGTCTAAATGGAGTTTTTTGGGGTGTCCGTGCGTAGCGATACACTTCTTTAGAAATTTTAAGACAATTTTGAATTGTTACTAGAGCAAACATAGGCCGACGGCCAATGGGAAAATACATTTACAGATACTATAGCAGACTTTTTTCTTATATTTTATTGCCATTACCATATAATCACTCGATCCCGTGGACGAATCGTATTCCCCTTCGGCTTCCTGACTCACCCATCGGACCGGTTGGTCCTTGTTACTGCTTGCCAGGCTACCTGGTTACCTTGGTGTTGTTCCTGTTCATCCTGAACCATTCCAATTGGTCCTCTCCTTCTCTACTGGTTAGTTCCCCTACGGGTTGCGCGGAATGCTCTCTCGAAATGGCCAATGTTCTGCATGCATTGCAGGTCGAGTTCTTTGCTGGACACTTTGACGTGTTCTAGTGTGCAATTAGACGCATCGCAGTTGTAGCATTTACTAGATCTTGTTCCCCCGGTTTCGCGTCCGCCTCGCCCTCAGTTTCGAAAATAGCTTGTTCTCCTCGTCTGATGTTTCTCACCGGCTCTCGCTTAATATTAATATGTGGCGTTGTTGACGCTGATATTTTCGGTGTATGGTTTATAGGCCAATCAATTCGTTCATAAAAAAGCGTATCCCGGTACACCTCCTCTGGCGTTTTCGTCGACCGTGATATTTCTCTCTGTCAATCCGATTTCCTCATATTCATTATGAATTTGTCCCTCATTTTTTCCGCCGCGTTTTTAAAGTCGCATAGTCCCGCATGTGCACTTAGTTCCGCATGGAACTTTTCAAAATTTTCCTTTTTGCGTTGTTTGCGTCCATAGAAGAATCTCTTTTTGTGAGTAACTTTTTTTATCGAATACACGTTCCGTTTGATCCACATCTCTGGGATATCTCTTCGTTGTGATATCAACGCCGGGTTGTCTAGCTTTGAAAGTTTGAAAGTTCTTTGTGTCTCATCGCCAATTTATAGATAGAGGTTCGATTTCAGTTTCTTCGATTCTGACCGGGTTTTTTTGTTCAGCTCCACTGTCAGAGCGGCTACTTGGGCCGGTGTCAGCGTTGCATTGAAATAGAAGTCATATTTCGCTATCATCCCCCAGTGGAATTTAATTATCCGTTCCTCCCAACAGGCTGGAGGGTCGGGTGTTTCTGGAATCCCAGAAAGAAACAAAATTTGAGGGGTTCCCTCCTTTTTTATCTACTAGCTGCGCCATGTTAAAGTAGAAAAGTAGATGTGAAAGTTTATTGTAAAAGTATTCCAACTATATATCAGGTAAGTAATGCAGAAGTGCACTCATTATTTTAGGCGTATCCAGACGTCTAGAAGAACAGAGATTAGAACGACAGGTAGCCAGACATGCAAGGACAACATTAGTAAAATTTTACATAAACTTTATAGACTTAAACTGTGCCCTGGTGTCAAGACAAATGTATCAAAATTCAAAAAAAAAAAAAATTTTTTTTCATTTTGTATTTCTTCTGTCACATAAATTTTCCACGTTTTCTTGCGATTATTCCAATTTCGTGAGAAGCTCCTTTTGCTTTTCCTCTGGAATTTTTTGTCTGAAATTTCTTTATAAGATCTTAACTGATGAAATTTTTCTTAACGAGAGAATAAACTCAACTTTTCAAAACTATTTTTCCACCATATGTTCTTTTATTTAGACGCACCAGTTGAAAAAGAATTTTTTTGATCATTTTTTTAGTTTTCAGACTGCATATTCAATTCACAGTTTGAATATCAAGAAAAGGAAATTACGCGTCTCCGATGCATTTCTTTTACAAACACTTTCATGGCCTATCGCTTTTTATTTGACTAACGCCTCATAATTTTTCCGATTAGTCTCACTTCCGTTGTTGTCATGCTTATTTTTTCGTCTTAGAAATTTTTTTATAATTTTTTGAAGTGGTCAGCAATATATGTTATAACCCTGAAGCTGAAAATTTTGTTCCTAAAAATGGTTTAGTTTTAATTTTTTATATATATTTCGAAATTAAATAATATAAAACTCAGAAACTTTGTAGTTTAAAATGTAAATCAAGTATGAACATAAATCACCAAATAGGCATCGGCATATAAAGTTCTTTGTGGTTTTTGATTGCAATAGTGTACCAGTTGAGCTGCGCAAGATATGTTGCTATTTTTTTCTCTATATCTGAACTTAGTCCTTCGTCTGACAGTTGACCTTCAGGAGTCAATTTGGAGTTGGCTTTCGGGATCAGAGGAAGGGCAAAGTTCTGAACTACCATCGCACCGAGTGACGTCAGCAAGTCATGAAGATGGCTTCTACTTTGAGAGCCCAACATTTCTATGAACATGAAATAAAATAGTTGTAGTTAAAACGATATGAACAAAGTTGTCTATATCTATATATTAGTATAAACTAAAATTATGATTTTTTTCTGGTATGAGATAATTCGAAATCAAAAGTGTAAACATGCACGACATGCTACTCGAACCGAACACTCAGATTTGACGGGCCCTTGCTCGGAAAAGGACTTCCTTCTTTACGAAATGCGAGGGCTTTCGCCAGCCAATCAAATTGTTCAATCATTCTACACATTTGTAATTTAGTGTCACTCGTAGAAGCACGTGATTGCTTCGTGCTACCAGCCTCTCCATTTTTCACAGCGGTAGCTCCAATTTCGGTCGAATGTTCCGAAGAATTCTTTTCTGAATCATCTTCATGATCGGAGGGAATATTTTGCCGGGGTATGTGAAGAAAACAGGGCAGGATATGAGCACTTAGTGACATGAGTTTAATACTAAGGAGATTAGACACCCAAATACTACCAGAAGAGTCTGTTTTAATAAAAAAATAGATTTAAGTCATAAATAATTACTGCCCATTTGATAAAATATTGAAAGTTTTTTTTAAAAAAAAAATATTTCAATTCAACAGAGGTTTACAGATAGAGGCTCTTTTCCAATTTCCTACCTCCCCCCCCCCTCTCTTTGATTTCTTCTCAAATTCAATATATGGAAATCAAATTAAAATGACTTTTCTCAATATAAACTGCATTAAAACGTGTCAGAGTGAACAATGGGACAAATTTTTACCACATTTCTTACATGCAAAATGCCGTGTGAACAATTTTTAAACAGCTTGTTTTTGATTTTTTCCGAGGGATTGGGAAACTGGAAAAGAGCTCAGATAAAAGTAGACTTAAGTCAAAAGCAAGTTCTACGTAACACTTGATGCTTTTATATTTCAATAAATTTCGAAAAAGTGAAAATATAGCTTTAAAAATGTGGACTCATTTAAAAACTTGCACAAAGGTATAAACATACCATTGTCTGAATAAGTAATAATTGCAGCCGGCTTCGCTTGGTAAATATTAGATCCAAAGTGGTCAATGAAGTTGGCCAGGTTGGGTGGAATGGACCTGTTGACCTCTGGACAGAGATAGATGAATCCATCACACTGTTCCAGCTTCTTCTCTGCGTCCCTCAGCCACTCCGGCGCCTGGGATCTGTCGCTGTAATAGTGCACTGGCTTCTTCACAAATGGGACGTCCATGCTATCAGGGCCTAAAGTTAACTTAGTCTTATGTGAAATGAGGCTGACACAGAAAAATTCGAGGTAGATCTGATATCGGAAGACTAAAAATTGATATGTCTAACCTAGTGCCCGACCTTAGTTTTGGAAATTACACTTGTTAATTTTTCTTAGCGTTACGCGTTTCCAAATTGTTTCCTTGCAAATAGTCAAGCTTCCAGAACGCTCTTAAGCCTATTGCTTTGTAAAGTTTCTTGAAAGGGCAGCGGTTAATTTTTTAGAAGAAAAAAAGTGCTATTGAAATTTTTCGTAAAAAATTGTGTTGGTTTTTGTTGTTCTGTGGTCGGAACTGACTGAAACTGATTTAACTTGAACAATATATAAAAAGATTGAAACACGATTGCAAACGGCTTGATTTAGGAGCAGATGTGAACAACTGTCGCCTCTAAAGAATCTTGGTTTGAGGCTTACTACATGTGCTCGTTGCGTGAGGGTGAGTATCAACTCTCCACCTCGAAAAATAACCAAAAAATACTTGCGCAAAAGGAGCCCAACAATATGGTGTTTTTTCATCAAAACAGACCTAAAATATGATGACTCAATTGATTCCAGAGTGGGCTCCCTGAAAAACAAGACCGAACCAAAACTCCTTACCACTTCCTAAAGTGGTCGAATTCCAGTTACATTTACAATTTCAATGTTTTAAACAAACAGATCTCTTTCTATAATACTTAATTTCGTTTTCATCACAAGTGTAAACTTTAACTGACCGAACAGAAGTGTGTCGTGTCTAGTGTCTCGTACAACTTTCACAACATACTTCAGCACTTTCTCGTCCATTTTCGAATCCTTAGAGGAGCCAGCGAAGATGGCATACTTGAGACAATGGGGAGCCTGACTTCCCAGACTAGCCATCACAACTCACAAGTAAAAACTAGTTATAATTTTTTTAACAGTTGTAGTTATCAATAGTATTGTGTTATCGGTAAAAGAAAGGCCGATTTCCTACAAATAATTTTTTTGAAAATTGCAACTTTTAAAATATCAATAAATAAAATGTCAGTGAGGTGTTTTTTCTTCAAGTATTGAATTAGTGGTGTTGAATTACCTGTAAAATGGTGGCGTATTGTATACCAATGCAATTGATATTGGTTACATGAATTTGATCTGGTTAACGTATTATATTTTTTTCTTAACTGATAGAAGAATTATCGTTTCGTATTTCCACGTGCGTTCATATTTCTATCAATGCATCAAATTATCTGTACTACGGCTGACACTTATTTTTTTGACATTGGGTGATGTTATTATTGGATAAAAAAATTATTACGCCAAAGCTTCTTGAAGCTCTGTTTGGACCTCGATTACAAGGCGATCATACATGTTTTCGACAATGGTTTTTCATATTAATTTTCATGGATAGCAATTAAAACTCAAGATGCACATGTATAATGGCTCTTTTCCAGTTCCCCCTTGATTTTTTCTGAAATTCAATAGATAAATAACTATTGAAAATTAATTTTCTTGTTATAAACTGCATCAAAATGTGAACAACTTAAATTTGTTATTATACGAGGGGTGGGAAACTGGAAAAGAGGCGTAAAAATCAGGAAGTACATTTTAGTCTAAGAAGTTGTTTCTAATTTTTCATTTTTTTTCTCAAAGATTTTCGTATTGCTTTTGGGAGAGCGAGCAACCTGTTTTCATTCTTCATTAAGCTCGCTACATATTAGCTGCCTTCAAGACCAACTATAGATGCGTTTTCCTCTTCTAAAAAGCTATCTTGCAAGAGTTTATTCAGTTTTTGCTACAATTTGAGAATCGTAAAATGACAAAGATAGCTGGTTACTGTAGCAAGTAGCACCGATCAATACTACGAAATTTTTTTTTTCAAATTTAAGTATTTTTTTTCTGCGTGATGTTATAAAAACATATGAAAAAAATAGAGCTTATGCATATTCGACAGTCAGTTAAATCAGCAAACTGGGAAACAACTTTAGTAGAAAAACGTCTAAGAAAACAAAAAAATTGCTGTTTTTTCTGTTTTCAAAATTTTGATTCCAAAAAGACTCTGCCATACTCAAATAAACAAACGTTACTCGAGTAACATTTTTACAATAAATTAAGCTATTTTAAGCTTTTAAGCCATTAAATTAAGTTACTGTAAGCCTTCTTGTTCTTTTTATAGGCTAGAATTGAGGCAAAAACGAAAAATTTCAAACCGGTTGCTCTCGACACTAGAAAAAGTTGCTTAAGATTTTTTAATGTTGTGCGAATCACAAGTGTAAGGGATTCAATATGATATATCACTCAACTCTGTGCAATTTTTTTTTGTGGTAGTTGGTTTTGCGTGGAAAACAAAAAAAAACGATCGAAAATAAAAAGTTGCTTTGGCAGGTTTCAGCTTCAAAAACCAATTGATTTTGGATTAATTTGTTCCAATTTTGTTTTAGCAATGTACATACAATTTTTTAAATAATACGTTTTTCAATAAAAATTCTAACAAAAAATCACCCGAAACTGTCCAGTGGTCTCCTGTTTGAAAACTTGGAAATCAGTTGGATCGGATTAATGATTGGCCAATCTTCAAAATCGATATGTAACTTTTCATTATCGTTTTTCAGTCCGCAATTTAAAAAACAACAAATTGAGTAGAACGTGAACTTCGATTCGAATTTGATCAATTTGAAGTCAATCGGATGAAAACTAACATTATGTTTTCGCAGTTTATGAAAGAACTGCTGGAATCAGTTGAAAATTATCTGATAAAAATTTTTTTTTCAGCTGTTTTTTTTGTTGGATTATTTTAGTGTACTTTTTTCAGCTCCGTATCTACATATCCTTTCGAATTGACAGTTTTCATCGAAAGTTATGATGAAGAATTGCCTAAAACATCTCATTAATATCTCGTCTAAATGTTAGGATTGAAAAAATTGAACTCATTGGATTGGAGACTGACTAGTCTTCAAGCTCAATACAGCAGCTCTAATCTCTGTTTTTCGCAATTTGAATGCATTTTTTGGTTATTTTTGGTGAGTTTGCAATTAATTAGATTAAAAACAGCAAAAGCTATACCCAGTCATGGGAAGGATTGCAGAGAGTTAGTTTAAAAATATCTCACAATCTTTGAGTCTGACTTCAGTTTTTTAGTGTTGTTGGGTGACTACAGTTTACTTATATTTTACCATTTTATATGCACATCATTTCGAATTGGCAGTTTTCATTGAAAATTGTGATGAGAAGAACTGTTGTTAGTTTTTACAACAAATTTGAGGTCGGTTGCAAAAGGAAGGTCAATGTGGAGGGTTGCAAAATGTTTCTAAAGGCAGAAGTAAGCAAAAAGTGCAAAATTACAAAATGCAAAAGTGAGATTAATTAAGAATTCAAATGTTCAAACACAGCGGATTGATAATAAGCTAGTCTACAAGTACAAGACAAAACAATGATCTTAGTTTTTCAGCCCACATTTGTGAAATAAGTATTTTAGTTAACCGAATTTTTTTTAAGTTTCTTACAATGTGTTTGAAATCAACCGTATAATGAAAGTCTTATGGAGAGTTGCAAAAAAATTAGAGAGGTTGAAATCATAAAAATTAAAGAATTTTTCCATTTTGATCAAATTTTGCAGCAACCTTGGGTCATGAATTTTGTTTTTGCCTGCAAAGATTCTCCCAACTATGTCAATTGCTCATGAAATTTTTTTTCTGTCCAAAATATAGCGCAGCTTACTGAAGAAATGCAGTCATCAGTTTGTGCATCATAATTTTCAAGCAATTGGCATACAATTTTTTTCGAATCAGTGATTTCGAATGAATGAAGAGTTTGTTTTTAGTCAAGAATTCTGATATCGCAAAAACTGGCCGACCGAAAAGATAAAGGATCGATCAAAAAGCCAAGAAAAAAGGATCCAATAAGCCAACCAATCCTGTCTTGAAAAAAGAATACTACGATGTTCTTGCACCTGTCTTGGTGAAAACAAGATTGTTCTGCAAAACCATTGCCTCAAAGACCCAAGGACTGACATTTTCGGGTGATAACTTAGAAGGTCGTGTGTTTGAAAACCATATTGGTGATGTTACTAAAAGCAGAAAGCAGAGACATCGAAATATCAACCTCATCTCTTCAAAAGTTCTGAACATTGCTCAAACACTTTTGTGGTGTTTTTTCCAATTGTTAAAAATTCAGGATTGAGGAAAGTAATCTAAATGGGTAGATGATTGGCTAGTACTCAAGTTCAATACTTAAATTGTGATCCTGGTTTTGGACTCTAAGTTTTAGATTTAAAGAAGCTTAAGAGAACTTGATCTTTCATTCCGAATAAGGAAGAAGAATCGGCAGCCAATTGGACCAGGAAGTTAATTATTCAGTTCAAATTTAAAAAAAATGGTTGAAAAGAATGCATTCTTATCTAATGAAGGGTAAGTTTGTTTTTAGATCAAGAATTCCACTTTCTCAAAACTGGTCGACAGAAAAGATAAAGAATCGATCAAAGAAGCCAAGAAAAAAGGACTCAATAAGCCAATAAATCCTTTCTTCAATAATGAATACTGCGATGTTGTTGCACCTAGCTTCGTGAAAATAAGATTAATCTGCAAAAACACTGCCTCAAAGACCCAAGGACTGAAATTCCTGTTCTGTGTCATCAGTGTAACAATTGGTAAAAAGAACGTCTTTTAAATTAAATCCATGACCCGCTGGATTTCGTTTTGCATATCTCCGTCCCCAGAACCAGGTTTAAAAAGGATATATTTTCCCGTAGTTTCACCGCCCACTATACAAAAGTTTCATTGTTTGCTTGTGTTTTAGCATATTTTTAGCTGACTGTACGCGTGTCTTAGATGGAGACAACTAAACCACACCTCGCTTGACTTTTTGTTGGATAGTTGTAACGCAAAATTGTCGATTAGTTAATGTATGATATGTTAGACATTTGACATTCATTACTTCATTATTTAACAGTTTAGAACCAAGGGCTATTTTTTTCTTTTAATCATTATTGGGTTTATAAAATATCCTCGTTCCATTCGATTAAATTGTCATTATGCCCTTTCAATTCCATCCTTCTTTCCTAACTTTGATTTGAAGTGGTTTAAGACGCAAAAGAAAATGTGAGAGTTTTCAATCCGACGGGATGTTCCCTGTTCTGCTAAAAAGTCCATTGAATTGTTTGTACAGGTTTATGAATGTGTTTGATAGAAAAATTGACTTACAGGCATCGGGAGGTGTTAAATTGTTGATCGGTTGAGATCAACGTTTTTGAGTTATCTCGATTCCAATCTTCTGTAAATTTTCCCTCCCTGTGGTGATTTTTTCTTCGTAGCCTCAGGGGATAAAAAGTCCTGTCTCATTGAAAATCCATCCGTTGGACTGAACTCTAACAATGATCTTGCTGATGATGTTTATTGTGTCGCACAAAACAGTTCACGGGACTTCTTGTCGACTGGTAAAATATTTAGCAGTGGGTCCCTTAGTTTAAATTGATGCAGGATGTTTTGTTTCAGAAATCTGACTGGGCTAGCCGAATCCACTGGTATAATAATTCACAATTACTTCCTCACCAACACCAATTTTAAGAAGCATCTTGGTCTCTAAGCTGTTTCGTCGTAGATGGCTCAGATATTAAGTATTGAATAGTCATCAATCTCACTCATTGCCTCTTCTGACCACGCATTTATCACCCGACCCAAATTTTCCGCGTGGCACTTCTGTGGTTCCGAAGGTAAATATTGACAACATTGGTAATGTAAATTTTCGCTCACACTACTTACAGCCGGTTTTCTCGCCTTTGATAAACATAATCTCCAAAGTGGTCTTTGATTTTACAGATGTTACAGGTTATTTCCTTCGCTAGACAACACTAAGATGGTCCTTGATAAACGCGTTTTCACATTTCATGTTGGAATTATTTGTTTTTTCACAATCAGGCTTGACTTTCATTTTACAGGGTCAAAGTTTTTCTACACAATGCCGTTGTGTTAGCTCTTATCATATTTTTAAGATTAAGGTGATTCAACTAACCTTTTCATCTATATTTGCCTGATTCAATGCTTTCAACGGGTTAAGTTTTTCCTAAACTATTTTCCGTTGAAAGTCATAGTTACGCAAGTTAAAAAAGAACACGTCTCGTATCCAATCGTGCTCTGCACGAACTCCAACTTCACTTTTTCTTGTTATTCATAGAATCTTCTCTCCTTTTCCTTCCTGCTCAACAGTCTGCATCGATCAAAAGT